AAGAATAACCAGATAATAAAAGAAGATATATGACCCATTTTACTAGCAGGCAGGACAGGAAGATAGTTCTATTGAACGTTGTCCTCAATTATCTCCTTGTGGTAAATCTTTCCGTGTGGATGAAGTTGTTCCTGACATTGTGTTGATAAACATATATGCCGGCAAATTTGAGATGAGAACTGCAGATTCTCATTTCTATTCTTAAACAAATACAGATTTCATGTGCTGTCTGTGTAGAAAACCTCCCCAAACAAAAAGGTGGGATGGGGAATTGCTGTAAAACCAGTAATTCTTGTTTGCATAGCATAGAAATTACCAAAATACTGAACAGCTAACTCCAAAGACAGACCTTCCTAATTCTGGGGCAGTAGTGCCCCAGTGTCAAAGTGGCATTTCTACATTCACTCAGAATTTTAAAAAACTGTTACTGTGGACCTTTTATGAAATTGTTTCTTTTAGAAGAAAAATCTGTGATGGGATTCTGATGTACAATTTACCAAAATTAATTAGGTCGTGAAATCAGTGGAAATAAACTCAATCTGGAAGCAGACTGGCATAGGTTTTTCTGACTTGCAGCACCTGTGAAATACTCAAAGACCATGCTGCAAATATCCTCACATGATCTGAACTGGCAAGTTCCCAGTTGAGAAAGATTTAGAAACTCTGGGAAAGTATGTGACTTCACTTTCGTGTGTATCCAAGTTGGAAATGTCACAGAACATCAAGAACTAACAGAAAGCCACTCCTGTATACCGTATGCTATCTTTAGGAACAGCTAAACAAATACAAGCCAATATGGGGTTTTTGTTTTTTCACACACGATGACTATAACTCATTTTACAAAAATCTAAGGGCAGTCCTCCATCATTCCCTATCTTTGTGCATATATTAATTATTTTCCTTCACATTTTGTTATCAAGAGTCTTACAAATACATTTATCAGCTAAATAATAAATTTTCTGTCTTTTTCTCTATGCAGGAGATTTTGCTGTGCTGCTAAGTACAGGGCTCTCCACGAAGACTGCAATTTTGATGAATTTTATAAGTGCACTAACAGCATTCCTAGGACTTTATATTGGCCTTTCTGTATCAACTGACCCATGCATTCAAAACTGGATTTTTACTGTTACAGCTGGAATGTTCTTGTATTTATCTTTAGCAGAAATGGTGAGAACTTCAGTCTATTGCTATATTTTCCTTTTAACATAGCCACATCACAGATGAGTGTCAGGCAAATGCAGGTGGATTAACTTGGAAGGAAAAAGAGTTCATAGGCTTCTTGGGGAGAGCATGTCGTCTGCCCTGTGTGTGTACAGTGCTTGGAACAATAGCCTGGTTTTGTTTGGTGTCACTGCCATGATAGGTGTAATTACTAATAACAAGCTATTACGAGGGTAATGAGAAAGGCATAAAGGACTTTCAAAGGGGAAAAGGTAAACAGTATATTTTTAGGCCTGAGAGAGTTACTTCATGCAACGTAAAGAAACATTTGAATTGGCAAGGTTTTTTAAATCTTGAAGAAGTTGGTTAATTTTTTTCTTTTTACTACCCTTTCTTTTTCACCCACTGTTTCAACATGAATTTGCTGTTTCTAAACTGAAATGCAAGATGCTGTGATCTTTCTGGCCAGGCCTTCTATCTCAGAGATGTTTGGATGAGCTCCTAAGGAATTCAAAATCCATCATTGTCTCTACTTTTTCATATTGGCCCGTCATTTTTTATACTCCTGGTTCAATAGCAATGACTGGACTATAGAAAAATAAATTGGGAAGATATACATTAGGAGAAAGGTCTAATGACTGTGGACGAATGTGATGGAAGATGCAGATGCCTCAGGCCACATAATTTATTGAAGAGTTGGCTAACTGTTACACTTGTAACAATGCAGAAATTAATTACCTTGCCAGCTTATCTTAAGTGTCATATAGCTCTTTAACCGGCATGTATTAATGTAGAGTTGCTTGCAAGCTTTGGAACAAAAAATGAATATTTTGAGTGATTAGACCAAGAGAGGGGAAAAAAAAAAAAACCACCCCAAAACAAAACACCCAGATCTGTCTCTTCAAAAATTATTACTGTGTTTTTCCCAAGCCTGGCTGTCTCTCTGTGGTGTTCACTACCACCCCCCACCTCATGCCTGAGATATCATTTAGCAGATTCAAGCATAATAGTTGAAACCTGATACGCCATGCCAATATTATAACCCATTTAAAGTCTACTTGTAATAATTGACCTTAGACCTCGGGTGTATTTTAGTCTATTTTTGCTACTCTAACAGAAGTAAAGTGAACATGAAGTGCTCCTAACAGCTTCTGAGGGAACGGTGAAAGGATTGTGGATGTGTCAACAGTCCTGACTGAGGTGCTAAAGAACACTATGTAGCAAGTTGCATCTAGTTCTGACACAGAGAAATTTGGAAGTGGGGCTGTTTACCTACTCAATAGGCATAGCTTTACTAATGTGGCTAAGAATGATTTAGGCATTATTTTTCCTTCAGTGTAGCATCAGCATCCATCAGGGATCCACAAGCTCCCAGAACACCACCATGTTTTTCCCTGAGTCTTCAAAGCAATATACCGGCTGTAGATCCTGAGAGATGATAGAGTTCCAGTCAAAGACAGGGACATGTTTTCCCTTGTTCTCAGCTTGTCGCCATAATCTTCTTGATGTGAAGAGGAGAAAGAAGGAAGAGAGAGGGGATGCTCTTATTTCTCTTACCTCCCTTTTATTAACACGGATTCCAATCAGCCTTTCCCTGCACTTTGTTAAAAGAATTGCCATTGGGTTGCTCACCTATATTTGTCAGAAGTGCAAGTGTTTAATTTCACAGGGATTATCTTATTTAAAAAAAAAATATTCCTCTAGCACTGCCAGAATCTATAGATCTGAAAATTTTGTGTGTTTGTATAATACATTTCAAAAGAAAATCAGCCATGCTTTGTGTATTTTTCAACTTTCTGCACAGAAAGAACTTCTCTGCTGCCTTCTCATCTACAAACAGCAATCATCAGTGTTCCTGGCAATGGGGTACAAATACTTCATGGTGCACAAAGCTTAACTACAGTTTTCAGTATTTGTTTTACAGGCTTTCACATATTCATGTACTTGTCAGAGCAGCAGTTAAATAAGAGAACAGCATTTAAATAAGACTGAACAGCCTCACCAGTTTCTGCATTGAGGAACATTGAGGAGTATGAGGTGGAGGTTCATCGGCAGGACAGCACTGGGGGACTGCTGCTGCAGTCAAGGGTGCACAAAGCTATTCCTGTGGTTAATTAAAGGTTTTTCATTTCTACAAATGGCACTCTAGCTCCATTAGCAAGCAGGGCAGGCTAATGATTTTAAAAATCTGAGGAAAAGGACAAAAGACAAAATAATTTATATATTTCATCATTTTTTCACCAAAGAATTCTGCAAAACTTCATCTTCCCAGTAACTGGAGTATTTTGTCTTGCAAATATGTATGCACAGGTGTAATGATGCAACGTAAATTGTTTGTTGCTTCAAGATATGCATGTGAGTAAACACCTGTAATATTGTGGGTTTAGTTGTTGCTTAACCAAAATTAAATACCCTGAAAAGCAGCTTCTTATGACCAATATAGTGAGATTTTTTTGTGCTGTTTAGAGGTCATAGGTATGATCATAAATTTGCACTATTTCCAAAGATCTTTTCATTAATAACATACCTTTCTTTAACATATTTTTAACCTGAATTGATACTTGAGACACCAATATATGGAATGGAACAGACCAACTGACTCCTAATTAATTGTTTCTTTGACAAAGCATGTCTCCTTTTCTTGTTGGGAAACAAACTTGAAAATCCTGTATCAGCCCCTTAAATGAGTATCTATGAATTATGGATAAATGTTTATGAAATCACATGCATTGTATTAAACCCCAAGGACTGGGACGTCATTTCTGAGTGATTGTACAGATCATATTGGCTTATATGGTTCCTGAGCAGAAAGACTAACTGTCTAGTTTGAAAGGAGGGAGAAGGAAGGAAGGAAGGAAGGAAGACAATGAAGATATCAACAAATAGGAGCTAGCCAGCCACTCTGAGGTGACTGACATTTTCTCTGACTAACCTTAAATATATTTTCCATTTTGGAGATAAAAGGGTATTTTAAAGTGACCTATTGCAGCACAGCTGTCGTGCCATATATACCCCAGCTCAGTAGAACTCATTTAGCCAGCACATGGTTGAGAGCCCTTTATGCCTTCTTTCCACGTGCTGCTTCCTAATTCTTCGTATCTTTTGTGTGCAAATGGTAAAATGAGCTGGAGTGGGAACAGAGTAGTCACTTGATTAACAGTAACTCTTTTGCCTCCAACAAACTTCAAGCATAAGCAAGTGTGATAGCATCCGACAGCTTGGATGCGGTGCTGCCTTCCCTTAATTTGTGAAGTGTTTTGCACCTGCCAGTTCTATATTCTATAGCCTTAAGCTTCCTAAACAACAAGCTTTTCTCTGCTGTACCACACAAATTTGTGTTCAGAGAAGGTTGGGGACCTATAGCTGATGCTGTGTCAGCAATCAGCTTTATTTTCAGAGATAAGCAGGGATGTCATACTAGGTAAGGCTATAGAAATGGTTTGTGCACTTGATAACATGCATATAGGTTAAATGGAGGGAGCAGACATCTGCACTGGACACAGGAAGGGTACTCCCTGCAGAAAATTCTTTTTTAAAACCTTCTAAGGAACTTGCTGTACATGTGTGTAACTCATAAATTGACACTGACAGCGACAAAATACTAGCTTTTGCAGTGGGAGGGGAAAAAGTTTCCCATTTTGAGAATTTGGTCACTTGGGTGCTGGAGCAGAGGACAAAATAGACTGATTATAAGGATAAATAAGAAAGACCAAAGGTCTAGACTGGAGCCCTGGATTCAGGTTTTAATTAACAGTTTTGACTTACATACACAACAAAAAGCCAAATGCACCAAACACTCATAAGCTGTGAGTTCAGATTTTCAGTTACATCAGAATTCTGAGGTGTTTACATTTGCTTTAGGTTAAAAGTTTCTGATGACCCTTAAATACAAATTAAATATAACTGTGTGAGTTTCTAAGATGTTAATTTGTACCATAATTTAAACCACTGCCCAGTTGTTATGAAGATCCAGGACATTTGAGTTTGCCTGTTATTTTTATGCAAAACTTTAAAGTGGAGGTGGATTTTTCACTATAGTATTCTTCTGGGCCCATGCCAACTTCCAGAGAAAGAAAAGTGCAGGAGAAGCAGACCCAGAGACCCTCCTCTGACAGAGGGAAGGACAAGCATAGCAAACAGATGTAAACATACCCTGTAAGCCTCCTTGGTCAGCACCACTCCACTGTCTCCCAGTGGCTGATGCTGTTACAACTCCTGGGAGGAGGGTCTAAAGAGCCGAGGAAATAAGTAGCTTCATTCAAGCGCAGGCTGTGAGTGGAGTGGGAAGGGATGACGGGAGAGTGCCAGTGTTCTGGTTTTGAAGTTTACAACAAATAGACCAAAAAAACCCTACTAAAACCAAAGGTCAGTACCAGGCCATTGCTCCATATTTATTTCCAAAGTTGATGTGAAAATATCAGCAGTAAGTGTCTCCCCGGGTGTCTATGATACATGAAGCATAAATACTAAGAGAGTCTGAGCCTGAGGCATCATTTTCAGTCTCTGTTGAGACATATATGTTGTTTAAAACTTTGATAAACGAGAGCATGTAGAGTGGAAGGTCAACATAAGTAGCTTTTAATATGATTATAAACAGCTGCTGCTCCTTTACGTGATTTAAAACTCACTGAGAAAAATATTAGAAGTAATATTTTCAAGCATATTTTAAAAATCCTGTTTCCTACTTATATGCTTACTAAAGCCCAAATAAATAAGAGTGTTGCCAGTTATTGCAGTAACAACAGGATTGACCCTATATATAGTACTGAAACAAAAAAAAAAACAAACTTGAACTAGTTTATTCCCACAGAAGGGAATCACTCATTTTACTAAATAAGCATTTCCTTACAAACAGCTGTATAAAATTACTAAAAACTATTGAGAAGTTAACAAATTTTGGAATCTAATTTATGATTCTTGCCGGTGCTAGTAAAAGAACCAAAATGGGCAGAAATTGGTTAATTTAAATATTTCACTGTCAAGATCGGCATTGTTACAATGTACAGAACATGCTACGGATTAATAGCTATATTCAGAAACTCAGCATTTTGACTTTTTTTAATGAAGTTTGCCTTGTTTTCCCATAAGACTTTTTTTCCCAGAGATTAATATATCTGGCTCTCATTCTGGTGTCTTATTCTTTTTTTAGCTTCCTGAAATGACTCATATTCAGACACGGCGACCCTGGCTGATGTTTCTTCTACAGAACCTTGGATTACTGTTAGGCTGGCTTTGCCTCTTACTTTTGGCTATATATGAACAGAAAATCAAAATATAAGTTTTCTGTTGGAAATCTTGAAGTACCACTCCTGACAGTGGATAGCATTATTCACAATTTTGTCATGTCTGCTGTAGTGATATATAAATTAAGTTGCTCAGATTTTTATATCTGAACAGTAGATAATTATTTCACTTTATTAACTTATTGTTCGGATGTTGTAATTTTTTTTTGAAAACATGAATGTTTAGAATTATGTTTTATTTGTTATTGAGTTTACCAGATCCCATGCTCAAACTCACAGGAGCTTTTGATTAGTTTTTATTGAGACTGTTCTAGTTGAATGCTCTAAGTGATCTCTGCCAGTCTGATTGAAGAAAAGAATAAAACATTTTATATGCAATAATTAAAGTGGACTAACCATATCTGAATAATTTGAAGCAGAAATTTTTTTTTTACAAAGAATAAATGTATTTCTATAAAACTAAAAAATGTAGCAAAACAAAACTGTTAAATGGCATACAGCAATCTCATAGTATCTACTTTATCAGCATAAAGATCTTCAGTATCTTACTGGTCCACTGTGGAAGGTAAAACATGACAAGTGTAAATGTTGAAGTTCATGATCTAGAAATCTGAGGATGCCCTTTTCCAACTGTGTTTCTCATATGTGTGATGGAATCTGTGAAGTCAAGCATTGGACTATAGTAACTGTCAGAGTAACCACCTTCTGCATTTTCCCACCTTGGATGGTTGCTCATAGCAAATGCTTATAAAGGATTATAAGAAATAAGTTTAAATTGTTTTTCCCTGCTACCCCTTCCAGGCTCCTCAAATCAAGTGTTTCCTTGAGCCAGACGTTGCTTCTGAGCCATCATGTTTAATAAACACCAATAGCGCCTTCCCGTCAGCAATTAGATTATTCATACATATGTGGTGTGCATTGTGGAAAGAGCTTTTTCAATTGTCTAAAGTGCTGGTAGCTGTGCTCTGTCAGAGCCTCACTGCAGCTCCTTCTATCCTGAGTGATTTGTGTGTAATTAGTCCTCTTGATTTCAAGGGAATTCTGCATAAGTTGAGATGACTCATCTAATTTAATATTGCAGAATCAAGCCTGAAACAAATACACAAATTCTTCCCTGATTCTGAGGTGCTGAGCAACTTCCAGGAGGTAATGACCAACACTCATCTGTGAGATTTCTGCTACTTATACACTATCAAATTTTGGTGTAAGGACTCCCCCAACCTAATTTATATTTTTGTATGAGAATTGAGATGCATTCTTTCTCCTTTCTCTGATAAACTGTGCAAGTAGATATTTTCTTTTCCTTGTCTTAACTCAAGCTTGAAATGTGGCTACATTATAACATGATATGACTGTCTCAAAATGTGTCCTGGGTTTATTTGACAGCACCTCATGAAGGTACAATTATTCTCATATTACAGAGGGGGACAGAGTCTACTCTCCTAGAGCAGACTGTCAGAACTCTCAGTTCTCAAAGGCTTCAAGGGTGCCATACGATCTTATTAACACAATGTTAAGGTGAAAATAATTCTGTATTTCATTCTTTATAAAAGCCCAGATTCATGGGTTTGTGAACCCCTAGTCATCCACAGACTTACCCTTGGGAAAAACAGTTAAAGATAATTTTGAAGGTAGGTATGCACTCATTTTCAGTGCCTGTTATGAGAATCTGTAGCAAATATCCCAATGCACATCTAAATGTACATCTAGGAATTTACATACCTTGAAAAACCTTGTCCCAAACAATTTATCCGAGGTCACAGAGGAAGTATCTGTCTGACTAGGGAACTGCACTGGGCTGTTTTAAACCCCAAAGTAAAGTCCTATCTTGTTTTATTTAGGTGTGCAAATATTATGACTGCTTTTTCTGTTGATTTAACTTTGAAAGATGAGCTGAGAAGTCATGAGTGAAGCTTCTCTTTTGAAAGTTTAAATTTTTCAGGAGTTTGTGCTTGCTTTTAGTGAGACAAGACTTTTTAAAAGTGGTTTTCCAGTATTTCATCCATTTGTATTGGCACTGAGTCACTCCATGACCTTCAGCTGTAACCATCAATTCAAGCAATAGCAGGACACCACTGGACGTAAGCAAAAAATCTATTCTTGTATCAGATGGTGCAAATGAATATTGGAAACATTTGTTATTTCAAAGAGAAGAGCTACCATAGTTTGAATGTTTATGTATGCATAATGTTCACTACCACAGAAAGCAAGATTACCAATATGATTGTGTTTTGGTGATGTTATTGTATTCTGAAATATTTTTCTTCTATTTATTAATATGTCTGAAAGAGGGCAAGTAATTTCTGGCAGTGTGTACTTTAAAGTTGCGTACGAGCATAGGTTCACATCCTGACATGGTCTGTGGACATAAGGTATCTGCATCTGTTCACAAGATGCCATATTTTGGCTATATGTATTTATCAGGTTTCTTGATCACATTTAACAAACAAGTACATTTATACACTGTCCACCGCAGGCACAAGTCTATTGATCAGGATGCCCGTGAGTCCTTATTTCTGCCACAGAGCTCACGTCCTTTTGTGGTATTTGTCAGTAAGTTCAGTCACCATTTTACCCTGCCGTCAAGTCTGAACACTTAAGTCTCGTTAGCATTAGGAAGTTTGAATTCCTATGGCACTTGTGAGAGAACTTACCTCACTACTTAAAGTTGGTGGCTCTGCTGTAACTCTCTTGACATTAGTATCTTTAAAAAAATACTGAAGGTGGAGTATTACCACATGTAATACAAGACTAAACTGTATATTAGGAACCATGCATCATACAGAGGGCTGGAAACTGTTCCTGTAGGTCACTGAATTAGAAAAGCAAATCAGCTTAAACCCAAAGAGATTCCCCTGCAGGATTCATCTTTTTTGTCAATGTTCTCTGAAAATATGAAGAAATGTATTTTTTTGTTTCATGTCTGTACAGAAGAGAAGGTGGTGCAGAAGTATTCTTGTGATGCAGTCTCTTTTTGTTTGTTTTAAATTCTGTAGAGTTTATTCATACAGATTTCAAACAAGACTCTATTTAAAGCCAGGTATTTCTTTCTGTTCCTCCAAACCTAACAGACAGAGAGCATAATATGCCAATGTTTTCATTGAGTCAAATCCTGAGTAAGGACTGCAGAACTTCAGCACTTGCAGCCCTTAAATCATGACTAGGTATCTCTCTAAGAGGTATTCAATTACTCAAACAGATGTTATGTGCTTGATGGAGAGATTACTTGGTGAGGTTTTACAGCCTGTCAGGCAGTCCTGACTAGATAATCATAATGTTCCTTTGAAAGCCTAAAATACATGAATCTATAGATACAAGAATTTTTCTGGAAGAAGCTGGTTAGTATTTCTCTCTTTCATCTATTCTTAGTTTTAAGGCACTCTCCATATGAAAAAAATAGAAAATATCTTGCTTTCCTACACAGAAAAATAGAGAGGAAAGGAAAGATTGAAAGAATTGGTTTGCTACAGTATTTTTTCCTGGAAGTTAAATGGCGAAGGACCTCATAAAAGATACTTCCAATTCCAAACTACCACGGCTCCTAAGCATAAGAGAGCTGACCCTGTACCTCTCTTTTCTGTATATGTTACACATTACATAGTGACTCCTAAGATAAATAGTACCTTCTTTGCAGCCAGCTATGCTAATGCCCTTAGAAGTTTCTGGAGCTCATCTGCATGTTTCAAATACTGCTGTCTATTCCTTCACTGTAGTTTATGCTTTAGGCATGAATGTGGCATTTCTCCAGAGACAAAAAATATCTTTTTTCATATAAGAAAACATTATTAGTTTTGATATGTATATTTGTATTTTCTTTCACCTTGCCATTGCATTTGAGAAAGCCTATTATTATTGTAACAATTGTTAGCCTGCAGCTAGAAACCAAAAATAGGTTTATATCAAAGTAAGGATTAGGGCTGATAATTTTATAATAAGGGCATACTTTATCAATGTTGTTAGCTTTTCTTGCTTTACTGTAACCTTTTTTCAAGTCCTCTCTTCTTAAAAATAAGCTGCCTTCTATTGTGAGTAGGAATGTGACTACAGAAAATACAAGCAGTAGTTACACGATGGCTTTAATCAAAACAAAAAGTCCTGCAATTTATTTTACTAGACCCACCTTCATTCCCTTCTCCCCAAAAGAACAAAAAATCTGCACACAGAGCTGTTGCTCTGGGTCACGTAGGGGAATGTAAGAAGTGCCTCCTTCCTTTTATGTCTCTGATAACAGCACTGAGCACAATGGGAGACCCTGTGTAGACGTCTGGTTGCATTGAAGTCGCTGCCAAGCTCCCGTCAGCGACAGCATGGAACAGTATCCTGGTGCAGGGGGTGCAGGAATCGCAGAGGGCTGGCGCTGCTTCCTTTTGCAAAGATGACAGGAGACAGAGCAGGCAGGCGGATGCTGGAGGGGCATACTTCAGTGCAGCACTTCAGTGGTTGTAGCAGAAAGATCAAAGGTTTTATAGCTGTCTCTGTATCATCCTGCAGGAGCTCATTCAGGGCAAATTCTCAGACAGTTCACATTGTCTTGGCTTTGGACGTGAAAGATACCATGAAAGTGATCTGGATGATAACCTCATGAGTGCAGGCTCCCACAGTGCAATGATCCACAGGACCCCAGCAGTCAGAGTGAGCCAAGGGAATGCCACTTCTCTGCAGAGGAACCTCCCACGATACTCCCATAAATAAAGGACAAGGCCTGTAGTCATGGCCAGGGTGGTCCACCTCCACGTTACAGCCCCAGGGCATCCAAAACAGAACGCAATGTGGCAGTACCTCCTCCCCAGGGTCTCAGCTCTGACATTGACAGAGCATTAAACACAGGATTACCTGGCAACCTAAATCTGCCTAGCAACCATTTACATACTGGCCCAAGATAAGGCAGACAAACCACTAATCCAGTGCTATCGATATCTCTGTATGTGACATCATTTTGTCCCACTGCAGCTGGCTAGGGAACCTTCCCTCATCCTTCTCCCAGGGGCCAGCAGAAACTTACAACCTATTCCAGAGAGATGACATGAGATACGCATAGGGGAATAGACTAGTCAATTATTATGACACCTTCCAGTCTTAATTTAAGACACGCCAAATTCTGCCATTTCTCCACGGACTCTCATACTGCAGGGAAGGCATCAGGACAACGTCTGCACTGGTCTGTCGGGCAGCTGCCCAGGCTGTCCTCACCTGGGTACTCAGTACAATTCATTCAGAGTATCCCAAGTGTCCCTGTCACTGCATATGAGATGTGGCATCCACCAGCTCCAGATGTGTGGAGAAAGGATCAGGAAAGCCAAGGCACGGATGGAGTTCAACTTGGCGAGGGACATGAAAAATAAAAAGAAGGGGTTCTACAGGTACATAGGCAGGAGGAGACAGGCCAAGGAGAGTGTTCCCCCTCTGATAAATGAGAAAGGAGAACTGGCTTCCTCAGACATGGAAAAAGCTGAGGTACTCAACAAGTGCTTTGCCTCAGTCTTCACTGGCGGTCAGGCTTC